AGATTCTTAAAGGTATAATTTTCACTGCATTAATCTGTACCATTTTCCACAGCTCGACGGGTGCCATGTTAATTTGTTTATATGTTGCTTTATAGGTGGACCAAGTGTTTTCATTATTTTTTTTAGACTGGCTGTTTATAGGCTCCTCCAATGCACTGTAAAGTCTTCAGAGTAATAACATTGTTTATTTTTAAGGGACACTTACATTCTCTACCTAATTTAATTCTTGCTGCAATTATGTAAGTTGGCCAGGACAGGTGCTATTTTATATCTAATGAAACAGGGGCCCAGTGAAGTTAGCTAGTTATCTGAGGCCACACAGTGATCAAAAGCAATGCTGGAGTCTAGGCTCAGGACGCATGCAAGGTACATTTTATTTGATTACAAGATAGGCTCAAGACCCAAGCAAGGTACAATTTATTTGATCACAAGATTCCTCTCAAGAGTTGGAAATTTGTTTTTTCTTTCTTATTCTTTCTAGGTAGCCTTGTATAATATTCAGCAACTGAATATCCCTAACTTAAAAGGGAGACAGAGACAGAAAGGAGAAGATGAGCCACAGGACTCCTAGGATAATATTTGGAGAATGCCATACTTTTTTTTTTTTTTTAAGTAGGCTCCATTCCCAGCCTAATGTGGGGCTTGAACTCACGACCATGAGATCAACACCTGAGCTGAAATCAAGAGTTGGACGCTTAACTGACTGAGCCACCCAGATGCCCCATACTTTTCTAATTATAGCATTCATTATACTTAGATACATGCATACTGTTTACTCTCCCACCTCCCAATTTTCATAAGAGCAGAGATCATGTTTATATTGTTCATTCATTGCTATAAACCCAGAGTCTAACATATATGTATTTGACATACAGCAGGAACTTCACAAAGTTATTGAAAAAGGAACAAAAATTTTACTGCCCCAAGAAAAACTCAAGCTCTGTGCTCAGCAAGGAGTCTGCTTATGATTTTCTCTCTTCCTCTCCCTCTGCCCCTCCCTTCTCTCTTTAATAATAAATGAATAAATCTTTAAAACATTATTTGTGTCAGTGTTTTGGAAATTATTCTGGTGACACAGAGAAAGGACATCTGGGCTAGCAATTCTGGAGAGAATAGGCTGAAGTATGGAAAAAATCTATGCTAGTATTCCAGGCCCCTCTTTAGGCATGAGGCCAAAAGTAGCATACAGATACTCACCTGGAAAATTACTGATACAAATTAACAAGAAAAAAAAGTTGTGTGTGTGTGTGTGTGTGTGTGTGTGTGTGTGGTGGCATTAATGCCTTAGTAACTCTAGCAAATCAAAACCTAAGTCTATATTGCCCGAAGGTTAAGAAATAAAAACCTAAGAACAACCAATCACAAACAGCGAATCAGACTTTCCCAAATAAAGTAGCTGCTTAAGTTAGAGTTAGATAATTTCCTTGCTTTGCTTTCCTCTTATCTATAAAGTCTTGCCTCTAGTTCCTATCCGTGGAGCACTCCAAACAATTTCTGGTTTGGGGATGTCCAATTCCAATTGATTTTTGCCCAAATAAACTCTTAAAATGTTTAATATGCCTCCGCTTACCTTTTAACAGTTCCATTTTGGTGGTTCATTAGCCCAAATCTCAAATGGCTTACTCAAGACTCACATGTTCTCACTATATTTAATAAGCCCTCATGCCACCCACTTGCCCAAAGTCTCATAACCTGTCTTGGGCATCATTTCCTAATAGTCACTACTATCAAACCATTGAATTCTTTAAAATATAAAGTGAAATACAAAAGAGCTCAACTTAATGAAGACATGGAGTGTTGATCCTTTTGGACATTATGGAATGATCCCTCATGCTGAGTACATGTACATTTGTACTACATTTAGCTTCAGAGATTCAAACAGCCTAAGTATATAATTCAAAAGAATTCAATTCTTTTCAATTGTATTCTGTGAATCCAATTCACAGAATGGAATAAAATTCAAAACCACTGGCGTTATCAACTGTGGTAAGATATGGAGTGGTATGGTTTTTATTTATTTATTTATTTATTTATTTATTTATTTATTTATTTATTT